ACAGTTTATAAATTGGACTAATATTGTCAACTTAGACTAGTAAAGGAATTGAATTTCAAAAAATTATAGTATATAGACTAAATTTCAAATTTCTTAATAGTATAGGAACTAAAATCATGATTAGACTTTTTATTTTATCTACTTTTTAAAAAAATTTTATCTACTCTTAAATCCCTATTTAGCTAAAAAGGACAATCGTGCATAAATTATTTTAAACTTGCAGCCACCAAGTGTTAACTCTAGGATGGTAAAATAATAAGTACTTAACAGGTTTCGACCTACTCTAATTCAATAAGGTTGATTTTTTTTTTTAAATCAGAGGTCAGATCGAGTCAGGTTTTTTTTCTCTAAGGTTGGGTTCGAATTTTAAATGACACCACCCTGATTCGACCCATATATATAAATATTTTTTAATTATTTATTTAATTTTATATTTATATATGTATTATATTAATAAATTTATTATTTAATATTTTAATTTAAAATACTAATTTAATAAAATACTATATTTATATATAATGAAGATATAATTTATATTAAAAAATAATATTTTATAAAATATTATATTAAATTAAAATTATTAAATTAATTTCAGATCAAATTGATTATGATTTATTAATATACAAGTCGGTCGGATATAAAAATAATATTTTAATATCATATCTAGTAAACAAATTAAATATAATTAAACAATCAAAAACGTACACAATGAGATATGAATATCTTATGGTTTCAAAACTTCCTCTTACCACTAAGTCATGATCTCATTGACTTAAATTAACATTATAAAACATATGTAAATATATATGACATTATAATAGATGAAACTAAAAATTTGAGAAAGAAAAAGGAAAAACGATTTTAGCTTTAAAATTAAGAGTACATTAATTTAAGGTTTTTGAACTTTTACTTAATTCCCATTTGAGTCATTATACTTTAATTTATCTCAATAAAATTAGTGAATTTTAACTTGTATACCAAATTTAATCATTTTAACAAATTCCTCTAAATAAGTTATGAAAAATTATATGGCAGTTATGTAATATGCCATCACCATAAATTCACATCATTTATTTTTTTTCTTATTTCATCTTTCTACATTCTCTTATTTCTATTCTCTCTCTACCCTTTTTCTTTTCTCTCTTTTTATTGTGTCAAACCTATCTGCCGGTTCTTTTTCTCTCAACTCTTTTAAAAGCATAATTGAACCATTAATGCTAGAATTGAACCACAATGTGCATGGTGCACCTCCTCTGCCGCCATCACCACCACCATCACGCTAGCACTCGAAACCCACAATTAAAACCACCTCAATTTAACTACCAATCAAGCATAAATGAATTTACTTATTAAATTAAGTAGTCTTGAGGGGATTAAAAAAAAAAAAAAAACCTTACATGGGAACTTAGGTGGGCATAAGAAAAAACTTTCGTCTATCACATTGCTGTTCTAAATAACTTATTTGAATAAATTTTATTAGAATGATTAAATTTGATATATAAATTAAAATTTAATAATATTATTAAAATAAAATTAAAGCTTAATAATTCAAATAATAATTGAGTGAAAGTTCAATGATCTAATGTAATTTACTCTTTGATATATAAAAAAACACGTGTCATTTTTTAAACATAAAAAACATATTTGTTTAATCATTAATCACATGGTGGATTATTTTTTTAGTTTAGTGGATATGTGAGACCCATATTCACGTGAACATGTTTATTTAATCAAATAAAAATGTAATTTTTCATTGGAAAACTCCATGATCACACTAAAATTTTGGGTTTCTTTTATCTCGATGGATCCAAAAGTGTTTTGCTATCAACCAACATGTTAATTTTAATTGTGGCTTACAAGTCAAGATTATATATTAATTTTTAAAACAGAAGAAAAAAGGACTTAAAATGGATTACAAGAAGACAATTGACAAGTAGGCATTTTATTTTTATAACGAAAAACAAAACAAAATTACGTGTCTTGCACTCTTATTTAGAAAAACTAAAATAAACATGTGATCAATTCATAATTTTAATAAATTATTACTTGTAATTAAATTGGTGATGGCACAATTTCCTATCATGTGACTTAAAGGGCAGTGGAGCTCGAGAAAATTGCGTGACATCGGAACATTAATTATTATTATTATTTTTTATTTTTATTCATGTAAGATCATTTTAAATTTTTTGAACGAATCAAAGTAATATTTTTATATAAATAGATTAGACCTGTTCGAGAGTTAGGTTATTTACTCAAATTCGAAGGTTCTTCAAAAATTGAAAGAGTTTAAATATAAAATTAAAATTTATTAAATAAATTGAGATATAATTTTTAAGTTTATTTAAATTTTAGATCAGATTTTTAATAAAATATTTAAAGTTTAAATTCAACTCGATTCAATTTAAATTCATATAAATATATTAATTTTTTATTTTTATATATATGTGAATTATATATAAATTAATTTACATATATATAAAAGGTAAAAATAAAAAATATATATTTTATTAAACTAAATTTTTATATTTATATAATTTTTATATTTAATTTTTATATACATAATTTTTATATTTTATTTATATATATGTGAATTAAATATATTCTCATTAAATTTAATTTAATTATATTTTTTATTTTTATTGTATAAATTAAGTTTAATAGGTGGGTTTGAAATTTATTTTTTTAATTTGAGTTGGGTTTGAAAAAATTTTGAAATTCGAAATTTTTAGATCAAATTGAATCTGAATAAATATATAAATTATTAATACCAAATATAAGTATGACTTAAACCTGACTTGATTCGACTAATTAACACCTTTAGAGAAGGTCTTATTGCATTTGTGCAAAAAGAACTAACAATATATTATGATATCTAAAACTTAATTAAGTTGCTTCATATAATTAATTTTAAAATTTTATTTGAATATTTTTTATTGATAAAATTAATAAATATGTCAAAATAAAATTTAATAATATTAACAATAATCTTTAATTAAATAATTATTTAATTATATATTGCAAAAGATGTATTTCAATAAAATTAGTAATTAATTAACAATCATTGATGTCAGCAAGAAAGGCGGTGAAAGTCCGGAAGAAAGAGATGCTTTGGGACCCAATGGTGCACCGAAGGTTGGCCCCGAATCTCTGTAGTTCTTAACTGCTCGATTGACTAGCAAATCACTTGATCCACATTTAAAAAATTCTTTTTTATATCGATAAATTTTTTTTAAAGATTGATCTGTTTGACTTTTAGCTGATGTTTTCATTTTATATTATTTTTAGATTATTTTTATTTTTTTAAAAATAAAAATAACAAAAAAATAAATCAAATGATATATAATAAATAAATTTTTATTTGTTGCTCGTTCTCAATTGATTATTAATTCTATCAAAATTAAAAATTTTTTATTGTCTATGAATGGTACTCTTAATTATTGTAATCTAATAGTTGAATAGCGAGAAATAATAATTAAATTTATTGTATGATATTTTACATTTATATATATAATAAAAATTATTTTAATTATTATCAATTAATTTTAGATTAAGCATTTCTCTTTAAATTTAACAAAACTAAAGAGGTTTTATTTTGAAAAATTAAGAAACTTTAATTTTATAAGATAGTTTTTTTATAAAATTACAAATATAATCATAATAAGTATATAATAACTCATTAACTTAAATCAAATAAATAAAATAACAAACTAATGAATAAAATTAAACATAAAATTTAATCAAATTGATTTTGCAAATGAACTCTATCCAAAGTGCTACAAATGAGGATTACTTCTCATTGTTTAGCTAACATCATATGTATAAAAAAATGAAAATTTAATAATTAAGATTAATGTTTCAATAGTAAATGATCTCCCTTTGTCGACCCACATGGTTAATTTATTTGGTAAAATGTAAGTTTTATTTTTAATAAATTAAAATTTAATTTTTATAAAATATTATTAGAATAATATTTTAAAAGAGTTAATTGATATAATTTTATAGAATTACTAAAAAATAAAGTTAAACAAAATTTGAAGATATACTAACTGTACTACTAAAAAAAAAAATCCTCCGTTGAAATCAAGAAGGTAACTCATTACTACCATATCTTTTAACAATTTTTTTTTTTTGATGAACCTTTTGTTTTAGACTGAAACTGGCACTGTGGCGCGGCATTTTTTCGAGGATACCAACTACAAACATTCTTAAAAAATAAAAAAGGAAATAATTGGGTGCGGTTGTGAACTGTGAACAATAGAGCAAAAGCAGTGGACAAGTGGTCCAGAAGGTGCAACGTACTGATTTCTCTGAACTGAAAGTGACACCTACTCCCCCACGTTAAGAGCTTTTCTATTGAACCATCTGACTCGGCACTTCCTCCCTAACTGTTGATAAGCTTTCCTTGTTTTCCATCCACAGATAAAATCATACACAGATCAAACGAGGAAAAATAACGAGTCGTTTTGAGTAGGATTTAATCAAACCAAGAAAAATAACGAATCGTTTTGAGTAGGATTTAGTTTGATTATCTTGAATATTATATTATATTAAAAAAATTTAAAATTTAATTTAAATTCGAATTAAATTTTTATTCGATTCAAAGTGGATCATATTAAATTTTATCAAATTAATTTAATTTGATTTATTAATTTTTATATATTATTTTAATATATTTAAATAAATTTTAATATAAATTTATTAATTTTATTTTATAAAAATTAAAAAAATATATAAAAATTAAAAATATATAATTTAATTGAATTTATTTTTTTTATTTTATCTTTGATTTAAAATTTAATTTAAATTTAATAGATATATTTAATATTTAAATTTAATTTAAATCAAATATTAAAAAAGGATCCAAATAAAACATTATAATCGTAAATCGATTTTCATTTTTTTCAAAATTTTTTCTTACTCCTACATCAAACTCCACTTTTCTACACACTCTAATCGCTTAGAGGTAATCGCTTCCTGTCTTTTTCTTCCAACCCACATCAAAAGGTTTTTTTTTTTTTTTTTTTTTTGCCCTTTTTGCTCCCTCACCAAGAGAGAAACGAAAAGATGATCCTTTGTCAGTTACCGAGCCCTCATCCATGGCTATTGCCGCCAAGAATTTCCAGGCTGACCCATACCTCTTGGTCTTCTTCTTCTTCTTCTTCTTCTTCTTCAACCAGGTACTTGTTCATTTTCAAGTCACTATCTTTTTCTTTGTTTGAACATTAATTATTGAGCTTAAGCATCTGGGTGTGATTGGATTTCTGGTATTAATACGTCGGTGATCATATGATTTTTAAAACTCATTTATTTCCATGATGGTCTCAAAGAATGAAATGAATTTCTCTGTATGGTTATTTATGCTGTTAAAGATTTGTTTTTTGGGGTCCTATGTGTGTCTTGATCGGCCTTGTACCAAGTTTGCCATATCAAATCTCCAAAGCATTGCCATTCCATGCACTATCATGGCTATAGTAGTAGCTATAGTTGTTCAACTAGCTGGAGAGCGGTGACTGGTTCTCGATCATGTCATTTTTTCTTTTTACTATTTTTGAATCAGAGGAGAGGGCTTATTTATTGGGATTTTGAGTTAACCTGATTATGGTTGAGGATTAATTTCAAGAGAGTGAACCCTGTTCAAACAAGTGTTGATGTAGCAGTGGCGTTAAAAAAGCATCAATGTTTTTACTGTTTCATTTTCTCAAAGACAAGTTTGCTACAGTAATGGGCTTAAAAAGCATCAATATTTTTTACTGTTTACGTTTTCTCAAAGCTAAAGCGACAGCTAAATGAGATAGGTGTTGATGTAAAACGTCCTTACCATCGGGCTGACCTGTTCTGGAAGTATGGATGACATTGATGCCACTTCTGCAAATAGTGATTTGAGGTCAAACTGTTGATCAAATACAAGATTGTCTTTTCTTTTTCTTCCCTTTTCTTTTTGCTTGATCAATTGTATAATCATATGTTTCTGAAGGACTGTTTGTGGTTTCAGAAAGAGTTTGTGCTGTGAAAGATCGCCTTTTTTTTTCATTTTATGTTGTTAGATGCAGGAGAGCTCTGCTATGTGAATGCAATAAAAATGTTGTTTGGAATATGCATATGAAGTGCTTGAATTTTGTTGTAGAACACAGGGCATAAGAGGCTCAAACAATATGATACTTTTCCAAAAATCATTGCTATGCGGCTTTTGGTGGAACAATTCTTCATCTAACAATGCACATAACTTTATACACCGTGGAGGTGAGTCCTGGCTATCTGTATTAATAGTTTGTCAAATCAATACCTATGTTCAGTTCCCATCAAAAAGTAATTAATCTTTATCTATTGATGTTAACTGTGTAACTGATATTGTCTTTGAATGACTCTTTGTCAAATTCTATCACGCGGAGTTAAATTGGTAAATTTGGATTGTTACATTAAATGGGTCGACATAACATGAATTCTCATTGAGGTTGATTTGTAGTTGTGCAAGCTAATCCTAAATTGTTTGATAAGTATGTTAAGTGGGTCGATCTGTTTTTTTTTTACCCCAACAATATGAAGGTAAACCAACCTGTTATCTTTGTGCTTGCTTCAACTTATGATATGAACGATTGTTACCCATGTTGGGAACAGCTGCAGTAACGAAGGAGAGTTATGAAAAAGAAATATGCTAGTTTTTGTTTTATAGGCTCATAGTTATACTTTAAATTGTGCTTTCTAGTTTATATTTATGAGGATTGGCCTCACGTTTAGTTCCTTTTAGGAAAGTATGTTAGAACCTCGTCTTCCTTTTTTGTTCTTATATTTTTTTTTAAATCTTTTTTTTCATGTTTCAAAATAACAGTGATAGCTTTCCTTCTCCAGGAAAATGGAAGGCTACTAGTCAAAGAGCAATGGATAAGATGAAGTGTGTTTCAGATATGCAAAATAGCTTTCAGGTGAGGCTTAAATCTTGAATGCCAAAAGAGATAATATGAATGTTCTTTCTTGATGTTATAAATGGATATGTTCTTTCAATTTGTTATGGGGGCCTGGATTTATGAGATATTTCTTTTTACAATCAGTGAGTATCTTCCTTATTGATAGTTTCTATTGTAACTGATGCATGCATCTGCTGGTTGATTGTTTTTGGGTCTTTCTTTATTTTCTTGGTTGGAGGAGGAGTGAGCCATGTTGGCAGATTCCTGCTGCCTAATCTTTTTTGATTCTATTAGTGACTGTAATATGACTAATATAGTTGCAATCAAATCATATCAGTATTGATACGAGAGAGAGTAACAGGACAGATCTTAAACTGTCAGTAAGAAATTGCAGTATAGGATTGCTTACAGATTTTGTTTCCCAATTGCATTGGTTTGCCTTGTAGAAACTTGCTGCATGGTCATTCTTTTTGTTTCCGTAGATGGTACACTCACAGGTTGATGGGGATAAGCTACAGATTATCATGTCCTAATTTTCATGATTGTCATCACTGCAGGTGCAGGATCACCAAAGTAAACTGATAACTGGAACTATGTCATCATATTTCTTACTGAGACTGGTGCAATTAGATTTTGTCAACACATTAATAAAGATGGTCCAAAACTTATTTCCACAGCCACATCAGACTTTGGTGGCTACAAGCTTACCTCTTGCCTGCATATCTAATTCCTTGAATAAACCAATGCCTCTTAACTTGGATGTGTCCTTGCCGTCGGTTCAGGATATTAGATGGAACTTTTCACGGTTACTGTATTTATTCAACATTCAAATGGAGAAAAATATTGCCACGTAAGTTACACTTACCATCTTGATTTTTCTTGTTTGAGTTATATTCATGGTGCTTCCTATTGTTTCTAGTGATCAATTACTATGACGGTTGGATGGACTTAATAATTATGCACTATTATTGGCCATTGTCTAGTGCAATGACAAAAGTCTGACAGTGATTAGTGCAAAAGTGCAGGTTCTGCAATTAAGGATGGTCACTAGAGTTGGCAACGGGTCGGGTTGGGGCGGGTTTTTGCTTGCCTTGAATCTGACCCGAAAATTTTTTATTTTTATTTTTTCATACCCGAACATGATTTGACCCGATACTGTATAAACCGTACCAGACCGACTCGACCCGAAATTAATAAAATATTATTTTTTAAAATATAAATCTTTAAATATATAATTATATAAATATTTAAAAATAAATAATTAAAAATAATTTTTTATATGATATCGGGTTAGGTTTGCTTAAAACCCAAACCCGACCCCGATTTTTTTTCTTAGCCTTACTCGACCCGACCCAAAACCTGATTTTTTTTTTAAAACCGACCCTATGAGGTCGGGTTGGAACCCGTTGGGGGCAGGTTGGGTTGCCGACCCTAATGGTCACTTTGTGCAACAATAGTCTAGCATAGGTTCATGTATAGATGACCTGCTTTACCAAGACTTTGATGAGTGATCCCTTTTAGTAAGCGTGAACTTATTTTCATGGTTGATTGGTATCATGCAACTTTCACATGGATCAAAATCTTTTGGAGATATAATGCTAGTTTGGCCACCATCTGTTAGGGTGAGCTTTTAGGTCTGTTGACTATGATGGCATCAAAGCAGGTTGACTTAATAGCCTGGCAACCCATGTTATGTTAACACTAGTATTATTGCATGGTAAGTGGACATAGGGCCCATCATGGACCTCTTCCAGTTGCAGACTCCAGTAGTTTGCAAGTGAGGGGGAGTGTTAGGAGACATAGTGTCAGTTTGGCCTCAACCTATAATTTAAGCATTTAGTCTGATGTTTAGCTATTAATAATGACTGAATAGTAATAAATTATGTTAAGAAGGCAATGTTGACTGAATGCTACCAAATTACTTATGTTAAGAAGCCAATGTTGACCCAATAGTAATAAATTCTATGTTAAGAAGCCATATTAATTCTAAACCATGAACCGGTGAACGAGGAAAACAATGCCTCTTTAATGCCAAACTTTTTGTAGCTGAAATAAGTCTTAGAAAATAAGTATGTGGAGGTTTAAACTATAAAATCTTACTCAGAGCTTCACAAGAGACCTTGTATATGATTTCTTTTTTTTATTCTTAATATTGTTAATCTGGTTTAAAATCTTGGTAGAACCTTAAAGGTGTAAACTATTTATAATAATAATCATCTTGCTTCTGCTGAATAAAACTTGTTGCAGGTTAAAAGTTGTTTATGTTGCCTGAGTTCTGTTTGATATATATAGCTTTTGTTCCCTTCTTGAGTCTGCATGGATTTATAGTTCAGAATTTATGTTTTCAAAATTGAATGATTCACCTTTTTCAAACATTTGTAGGTTTCTTGTGGTTCTTCTTGTAGCATGCTTCTCATTTGTTGTTATCGGTGGTTTCCTGTTCTTCAAGTTTAGGTAATGTACAATCAATCTTTATTATCTGAATATTAGTTTATACATGATTATGGCATGTTTATGGTATATGGGGTGTTAGGCTTTGCGAAGTTTTCTTATGTTTAATTTTGCTATAATAACTTTTATATTTGGATTATGTTCCTACCAAACTTGAAGAAAAATTACAGTTGTCCCTTTTTTAGCCTCTCTTTGTTGGGTTTAATAATCTGATCATGACCAAAGACAAATGAGAAATGAGAAATGAGAAATGAGAAAAGAAATAAGATGCCATACATGTGATATTGTTTGTCCTGACGTGGTACTTGAACCAAGAATTTCTTCTTCATGTATTATTATTCAGAGGCAAATGATCATTTCTTCTATTCATTTTAGCTTGATTATATCTTCGATTCATCAAAAGTTCAAGACTGTCAAAAGTTGTATGGTGTAAGCATATATGTATTTGTCATGGTGAATGTTTGAAACTTTAATTTTTTCTCATTTGTTTTAGTATTTTTGAGAACCATAGTATCACTCTTTGCTATTTTCTCTATTTTGTAACTTGTTAGATATTGTCAAAGAAACTGTGCAGTATTATATGGAGTCAATCATTGTTGATGGATTTTCTCTTAGATGATCTGCACTGCTTGATGAAATCTATTTGGCACTGGTCAGATGATAGTTGGTGGTGTTGTAGTACTGATTGTGTTATCTCTTTCCTTTCTTTTTATTTTTATTTTTCATTTTTCTGCTAGGATTTTTTTTTTTATGGAATAAACCTCTGAAAGCATGACATGAAACTTGTAACCAGGCTGTGTGTTACTCGCCCACCCTTATGGTGGTTACTTGACCACTGCTTTGTTTTGTTTTTATTCATTTTAGTTCTTCATCTTTACATATGATAATTGTATGTTATTTGCTGCCAATACCCTAATCCCTCGTGGATAAATAGCTATAATGCTACTTTTGTTTGCTAATCTAGTAGCTATGCCTTGAATAACACAGGGGAACTACACAGTCTCTAGAGGACTGCATCTGGGAGGCGTGGGCATGCCTGTGTTCATCATCTACCCATTTAAAAGTGCGTGGTGTGTTATGAATCTAATCATTCGGTTGCTTAAAGATATAATTGTGTACATAATGCTTGAATGACTACAAAAGTGAATTTTAAAATGTTAGTGACTGAAAAACATATTCATTTGTTGAACTACAGCAAAGAACACGTATTGAACGTGTTATTGGCTTCATTCTTGCTATATGGGGCATATTATTTTATTCTCGGCTGTTAAGTACAATGACAGAACAGTTCAGAGTAAGTACTTTAAACAAGAGCTAGTTTTACCTTTTCCTTTTATTTTAATAGCTCCTATTATTTACTTAAGTCACGTTAAATGCCCTTGACATTTTGTTTATGGGGGACAGAACAACATGCAAAAACTCAGGGAAGGTGCTCAAATGCAAGTTTTGGAGACTGATCATATCATCATTTGTGGTGTAAATAGTCGTCTGGCTTTCATACTAAAGCAGCTAAATAAATATCATGAATTTGCTGTGCGTTTAGGGACTGCTACAGCCAGGTGTTCATCATGCTGCCACCATTGGTTTTTTTTTTTTTTTCTTTTTGTGCATAATTATTGGCTTATACCTGCATTATGTTTTCATAGGAGGCAAAGAATTCTTCTTATGTCTGATCTTCCAAGGAAGCAAATGGATAAGCTAGCTGACAACATTGCCAAGGATCTAAACCATATTGATATCCTAACAAAGAGGTATAAGAACTGTGTCCTCTTTCCCACCTCATATACAAATTCCAACCAGTTTCCCTTTCTTAGCCATTTCTAAGCCTGGATAAAAGATGGTCATGCCATGCAGTCAACGGCCAGTGTCAAACATTTTCAAATCTTCGTAAATATCGATTAAATTAGTAATTGTTTTAATGATTGGGCATCTCTTGTTGGTGATGCTCTTTAGTAGAGGATGTTATGTCAAAAAAGTAGGAGGAAAAGACCAAAGAAGATGGGCAGAAACTATTGAGGGTGTTGCTCTTGTTGGTCTAACTCAAGACATTATCCTGAATAAAGCACAGTGTGAGATAATTGACCCTTGTTGCTGTTTCTAGTAGACATCTTAATTTTAAAAGCTCAGACTGTGCCACTCAGTTCATGTGTAGTGCACCAGAGAAACATTAGAGTGTTATAGCTCAGTATCTTTCACTTCTTAAAATGTTTAACTCACTTCTTCGTTCAACTCATAAATTTTCGGTCCACTTAGGTTTTCAATTTTATGTGATAGATGTAAAATCTGATCGATTGAGTTAGAATTATCCGTGTCATTGAGCTTCCATTTCTTAAAAATTGGTTCTGCTTGTGCAGTTGTAGCCTTAGTTTGACAAAGTCATTTGAGAGAGCGGCAGCGAATAAGGCTCGTGCCATTATCATATTGCCCACAAAAGGAGACCAGTAAGACCTCTGTCAACTTAAAAGAAATATATTCTTTTTTAACTGCTTTTGCTTTTTTTCTTTTCTGCATGTTGTGTAAAAGAATTTTGAAAATGTTAAGTTTTTTGTCTACTTTTATTAGTGTTATATTATATCATTTTGGAATACTATGAACTATTATTTTAACTCCTGAGTGTTTGCCTGCAAACGACCATGATTCTAAGTTTAGCTGAAATTTTACATAATAATATTAGTAGCCAGATTAGAAGTTTCTGATGTCAAAATTACGCCACAATGGTTGGCCCTTAAACTCAGGCTTGAGGGTCTGGAAAACAATGAAGAACGCCGGAAACATTGTTGTATATTATATTGAGAACTAAAGTAAAGATAATAGCAACAGCAGCTATTATAGGCTCTACTATGCTCATCTCTATCCAGTTCTTTGCAAGTTCATTTTTAATTAGTGCATAATACAGACAGCTTTCTTCAGGGGAAGTTTAGTGACAGCGGTTTGTTAACTGATTAGGTATGAAGTTGATACTGATGCATTTCTCTCTGTGCTAGCACTTCAACTTATTCCTGAGATGGAATCTGTCCCCACTATTGTTGAGGTATGTGCATTTGCATAACCATTGAAGTAACAGTACTCTGCTGAGAAAAATTAAGTTTAATTTAACCTTTATTTTTATTTTTTTTTTCTGATGCAGGTTTCAAATTCCAGTACATGTGAGCTCTTAAAGTCAATCTCTGGACTGAAAGTAGAACCAGTAGAAAATGTTGCTTCTAAATTATTTGTTCAATGTTCTCGTCAAAAGGGGCTTGTAAAGATCTACAGGCACTTGCTTAATTATCGAAGTATGAGTTGTTGCTGGCAGTTGTTATTATTATGATGTTGGAAAGACAATGATATCTTAAAGATTATGATTTCCTGTTTATAGTCAGCCACTTCTTCTGTGTCAAAAGTTTTAACTTATGATGATATATTGAAGTTTTATCCTGTCTTTTGATGAAACAAACCTGAGACGAGGTCTTAGGCTTCTCCACTCTTGGATAATTTTGGGTGGTGCTGAATCAGGGTACCAGATAAAATAGGGTAGTTTTCCTTCTTGGGACAATAAAACCATTTCTGATTCTTTTCTTGTCTAATAGGGTAGTTTTCCTTATTGGAACAATAAATTTTAGCTTGACCTGCAAATTTCACTGGTGCTAACAGTTTCTTTCCTTAAGATTGATTCTATCACATAAAAGAAACTCTAAAGGATCCATTTCTGGGGAGTACAGAATTATTTTCAAATTTAGATTCTTGTCCATATCGTTATATTATACTTTTCTGCTCCAAGACTAATTAGTATCATGTATTGCAGAAAATGTATTCAATCTTTGCCATTTTCCTAGTCTAACAGGATTGACATATAGACAAATACGACAAGGGTTTCAAGAGGTAATGCTTTTTGCTAAACTAAGTGTTTATCAGTGGGAATAACTTCTGTGCAGTTTTCTTATGTTGATTTCGTTTCAGGCAGTCGTTTGTGGTCTTTATCGGAGTCGTAAGATATGCTTCCATCCCAAGGATGATGAAATTCTTCAGCAAACTGACAAAGTATGTAGACAATATGACTCTGGAAATTTAATGATGAAATCCTACACTGGAAGAAATTATTTAAAATTGTTTTGTTCATGTATCTGAATGTATGCAGCTGTGGAGATTTTCAGGTACTAGTTGTGACAACTTCTTGAAATGAAACAATATGACTACTTATCAAGATTTTGCTTGGAAAGAACTGCTTCACTGAAATTTCTAGTCCATGCATCCCTTCCTTGATCAAATCTGTATTTCCTGATGTATTTCTCTTTTATTCATGTAGGTATTGCTAATTGCACCTATTCACAGGACAGGGAAACAACAATTTCCGTTGTCAGATGTTGTAAAAGATGAAACCAACACACTCCAAAGTCTGGAATTTTTCAAAAAAAATGCTGATACTCCAACTCGTGCTTTAGAATTGAGAAAAGAACAGCTTTTAAATATTGTAAAACATCCCAAAAGACTGGGATCAAAGGTATGCTTTACAAAGAGATAAGTGCTGTAAGTGACAGCATCTATTGAATATTCTGGGAGTCCCACTTATATATTTTTTGATCCAAAGCAGGCAGCGGACCAGACTCTAGGACCCAAAGAATTCATACTTTTGCTTGGGTGGCGCCCAGATGTTGTACAAATGATTGAAGAGTATGATAATTATCTTGGCCCTGGAAGTGTGTTGGTATGCTTTTATTTACTTTTGGGATTCTTGTAGTCTTGAATTTCAACCATAACCTTCCCTAGTATCTTGTCTTGGAATTGGGATGTTAAGAGTTACATACTTGAAGGAACATCTGTAATGGAGACTACAGTGGTATTTTCCATAAGTACCTGGATATAACCTACAATAATTATTTCTGACTTCAAGGAGATTATGCTTCTTTTCTCCCCAATTAATCATGTTACTTCTTGGAACTTAAATGAAATAGTGTTATTATGAATTATTAATGAAAGGGTCGTTTGAAATAGTTTGGACATGTGAAACATAGGCGTATCTGCGCACCAGTTAGGAGAAATGAGTTTCTAGATTTAGGAGAGACCAAAACTTCTAGAGGTAGACCATGAAAGACGTGGATGCAAGTGATAAGAATGAAATAAGGGTTAAGGAAGTAGATGAAAAGGTTATTTTTGAGGGAAATGAGTGAGGCAATAAGCTTCAAACCTACAACCTAACATGATTTTCTTTTTTTTTGGCCTTTCATACAGCCAACCCCAGAGTTATGGGATGTAAAGCTTAGTTTGTTGTCGTTGTTGGAAAACAACAATGTTACATTTGCATCTGATAAGTTTGAGACTATTCATGTGCTATCCACACACTACAGGAAATACTATCAGATGTCCCATTAGAGGAAAGGAAGAGGGCAAGCTCCATGTCTGGTCGAGGAAAACTAAAAAATGTCCAGGTTACCCATAAGGTACTGTCTCGTTCAGTTGATCATTTGGAACTTCTAGGTGCTTTTTTTATTTGGGTGGAGAGGACGGCAATGCTAAGCATTTTACGGTTTCCTTCTAATCTCTCTTTTTATTTTCATGTTGGGCAGGTTGGAAAATCCATGAACTATGATACCTTAGAGGAAACTATAATGAACATACAAAATTCTTTCAAGAAAGGCAATCATATTCCTCTTTCTATTGTTGTGGTTTCCGATAGAGAATGGCTTCTTGGAGGTAATGGTAACTGATAGGCTATGTTTCTATTGGTAAATTTAGCCTTGCTCTAACTATTTGCTTTTCAGATCCATCAAGGGCAGACAGGCAATCTGCATATACTCTTCTTCTTGCTGAAAGTATCTGCAACAAACTTGGAGTGACAGTGAGTTTGGTTCAATATAATCTTGATAACCTTATGGTTTGGAATTTTAATATTAAAGTGTTATCAAGAAAGAGAAAGTGGTAATATTTGAGATTTAACTAGTCCAAGAGTGGCTGTGGTTGTTATTTTAGAATTATTATATTGAAAATTAAGTATTAAGAGAATTGATTGTTCTGCAGGTGCAAAATCTAGTTGCAGAGATTGGTGACTCAAAATTAGGCAAACAAGTAAATTTTTTTCTGCTGATTAAAATTTTATTTTTTTAAATTTTATGATCTTTGATTTTCTAAGGCTTGTAACATATTTGTGAAATCATTCAAACGCTGCAGATTACAAGAATCAAGCCATCCCTGACTTATATTGCAGCAGAGGAAGTGATGAGTCTTGTAACAGCTCAAGGTCTTGAAATTATATTGCTATAGGAGCATTTATATAGTTTCCATTTGCAATCATTAGAAATAACTTTATGTTGTGTATAACAGTGGCTGAACACAATGAACTGAATGAGGTGTGGAAAGACATTTTGAATGCTGAGGGTGATGAAATATATGTGAAGGTAAATCCAATTTCTCTGATGTAGTACTTTCAGTTTTTGAACATACTGAAAATGAAGGGTATAACTAGGTGTTTCAGGAGAACGATACCCGAGGGTAATTTACCATTAAAGCAATCTGCTTTATTAATTATTATAGCATAAAACCAAGTACTACATTTCATAATGTCACAGGAGAGGGTTGTGTCAAAAGTTGCTCTTTTAGGTAATGAACTTATCTTGTTTATCAGCAAGGCAACAGAATCACCTTTTCTTGCAGTAATCTGGCATTTTATGAAAGTAGACCAATTAAATTGGCATATTGAATATTTACTTTTCTCAAATTGAGCCAACAAGATTAATCGAGATACTCAGAGAAATAGTTTTTTTCGGATTATTTGTAGTCATATTCTGCTGTTTATGGTACGAAGAAAATGTCTCAGGCTGCTACTTACCTGCATTTCTTGACAGGATATTGGCCTCTACATGAAAGAAGGGGAGAGTCCTTCATTCTCAGAGCTTTCTGAAAGGGCATGTTTGCGACGAGAAGTTGCCATAGGTTATATAAAAGATAACAAGAAGGTATATTAAACTTTTGCTGGGTTTAAAAGCAGGTTTTCTTTAACACCTAATTCATTCTTTGCTGCACTGCAGGTTATTAACCCAATTCCCAAGTCAGAACCTCTCTCCCTACAAATGACAGATTCACTAATTGTCATATCCGAGCTTGAAGGCGAGCAACCTGTTGTTGTCTAAAATGCAAATAACTCCAGGCATTCTTGTTCCTCTTTGCATTTTTTTTTTCAATAATATCCCATGGTTCCAAGGTCGTCGGCTTCATATACACTCTGCATAGTTGAGTTTGAAACTATAATCTTTAGTTGTCATGGTAAGGAGTCCTGTGAAACCATCATAGGAATAGGGGATAGAAAGATATTCTAATTTTTGGACATTGACCCTCTTGAAGTCTAGATTTGTTGTCTGTCATAGGAACATGTTGTATCCAATGTTGTAAATTTGTAAGAAAGTCCTTTGTGTATCTGACAACAGAGCAGTTGCTATTTCTTCATAAAAAATAATAAAAAAAAATTAGTTGGAGTATGCACAAATTAGAAGGAAAACCAATAGAATGAATAAGGAAAGAAAAAAAATTCTTACATACAATGTTAAATTTTACTAGTGAATTTAGATAATTAATACGTGTAAACGAACTAAACCTGATTGTGTGGGTTAAATTCCATAATGATTCATAAAAAAAACTTTTTAAATAATTTAAAATTTTCAAATTTAGTTTGCGTTTGTTGTTGGGTTTCAATTTTCTTTATTTCTGGACTTGGTTTGCTATGGGTTTTAACTTGGGCCCATCTTTGGTTTAACATAGAGCCAGTAAAACTAATTTATATTCGAAAAATTTGTCTGGTCCGCCTGAAACTGATCCAACTTAATTTGATAAAGGATTCAATACAAAACTGAATTTAGCATGACCTAAATTCGAATTAATTAAAAGATTAATTTAAAATTAAATTGATATGATTTTAAATACAATTTATATTTGAAATGAGATGAACACAATAATACGGGAATAACATGAAGATCAAATTTTAAAAACCCTATGCAAAGCGATCCAACCCAGACTCGCCCAAAGTTGATCAATCCTTAGCCATGATTAGACCCAATTCTCTTCCTTAAAATTTTCAAGCCCAGAGAAATTCTCAATTAAAGAGTCATATCCAATTTTAATTGGCCCAAAAAAGGGCCGGGAGACGTTGTTTGGGCAAGAATAAAACAGAAACCTAACAATTTGGTCATCCAAAAGAAATAAATTTTTTTTTTTAAAAGCAAGTTAAAAACAAGAAAAGGGAACCCCAAGCTCGTCATCTCTCTACGGACAGTGACAAAAAGTGAAAAAAAAAAAGGAAAAACCATGGCCCACGGTGGCTACGGTAAGCGGCGCGTGGCGGAGGGGAAGCGCGTAGGTCGGCGATCAAAAGGAACAGGTGTAGACAAGAAACCAAAGCCCAAAGCCGTCTCTCTCAGGAACCAGATACGCTCCACTGAACGCATGTTGCGAAAGGTATGTTTCTTTCTTCTTCTTCCACTTCTTCTTCACTCTAGGGTTGTTAAGTTGTGCAATAAATTCTCTGAATTATAATTTTCTTTGTTACATATATAATATAAGGATCTTCCGCCTGAAGTCAGAGAGGCTCAAGAAAAGAAATTACAAGGGCTTAAGAAACAACAAGAAATCCATACGCAACTCGCTGTGGAACGAAAAATATTCTTGAAGGACCGAAAGATTAAGTTTTTTGGTAAAAACAAATAATTGCTGTTGTCTTTTTTTTTTTTTTAATTGTTTTCATTTTTAAATGAATGATTAATTTGTAATTTTTCTTAATTGTCATTGAAGAGAGGAGAAAGATAGAAAGAAGAATAAGGCGTTTGGAGAAGCTGCAACGCACTTCATCTGGTCAGGCACAAGACGCAGAGATTGCCCAACAGCTTTCTAAATTGAAGGAGGATCTTGAATATGTTAGGGTAAGCTTGTAAGCTTATTTACTTATTTGTAAATTTGCATTCTTGTGAATGAAAATTCGAATGGTTTTCACTACTTGAACTTGAAATCGGCATATCTTTGCTCAGAAAATTTCCAAACTGCGAAGTTAAACTTTTATATATTATTTCAAATGCAGTTTTTCCCCAAGACTGAGAAATACATATCTTTATTTACGGGGGGTGATGATTCAGATGTAGTTGATAGGAGAAATAGAATGCGGAAGCAGATAAAAGCCAGCTTAGTTGCTGCTGCTGCCTGTGGGAAAGACTTGGAAGGTACATTCTTACTCCGCCATAGCTAGCAATATAATGCCATATGAAGTGACTTTTTTTCCTTGATTACATGGTATAGGGTAATTAACCTTTTTAGAATTGATGCCTTCTCATTATGAACTGCACTAAAACTTGCATAAAGGTGAATTGAAGCTAAGAAAATTCTTCTCTGTAATGTTTGCATGGTAATGGGACTTTTAGAATCTTTTTGAGCACGTTTGTACCTCAAAACTATGTAACAAGTTATGGATGTATCATTTTCTCTCTTAATGCATTTTATTTTACCTGCTTAAATTGTTCTTATTAACTTGTATTGTCATGTTCAGAAGTAAGATGTCTTCTGTTTGGATTTCCCTTAACAGAGACAGGGAGTGAGGATGATGGGCTGTTGGATTTGAGTGATGATGATTTCTTTTTGACCGGAACCTCAAGTGATGAAGCTGATGCAGATGATGAATGGACGGATAAAAGTACCAGGTACATATTGCATCTGTCAGTTGAACCCGCTCAAGTGAACTTTGCTTCTTATTGATGAGCAGTGTTATCTATTATCTAGTTAATGGCATTTTGTTCCTTCTTTGATTTTGTTAGTCGCATTTAGAACCAGGATAAGTTAGAGATACAAATGGAATGATAAAACTGCCATTAAAACTTGTTTTCACATGAACACAGAGTCACAGACTCATGATCACTGTTGACTCTATGGTTAGCAGAAGCAATACGTTCTATTCTGATATTGCTTTGGCCGTTTATGGCAAGCTCTTTGTATTGAACAGGCGAGGAATCTTTATTCCATTCCTTTTGTTATGATGAAAAGTGCAGTTAAACATCTGGGCATCTATGTGCAGGGAACAGGCTTCTAGTGCTTCTGGCAAAGCAGCATCTGGCATGTCTAGTGATGAGAGGAATCAGGTTCAGTATTGATTTGAATAGTTGTATTTTTAAGAAAATAATTGATTTATACTGTTTTGACATTTTGGCCCTTCATATCACTCTTGCTTGCCGCTACTTATAACAGAGACAGGTTTCTGCCAGAGCTTTAATGCTGCCCCCTAGGCCATCAGCTAATTCATTTTCAAATTCAGTTCGTGCAAAATCAAGGTTTGGATCTTCATCTAGCCGAAATTCATCTGTACAAAGAGCTGAAATGTCCACATCTAGCAACACATCGAATAGCAGAAGTGGTTCTTCCTTTGAGGCAGGGGGGTCCTCAAATTCAAAGACAGGAAACGGTAGTAATTTAAGTTCCAATTCTGATGCTTGCAGACCATGGAGAAAGAGGAGACCAAAAAAGAGAAAACAACAGGTTTGTTGATTGTGCCTATGGTTTAATTATGTGTATTGGGAATTTCTTTTTGCCCCTGCCTATTTGCTAGACAGCCAAGATTCTTAAACTAAGATTCATTGGTGCTCTCATTGACATCCGAAGTCACTAATTTCATGTTAATGAATACAGTCTTAATGGTTACAGATTATTGTTACTTATCCTACTTTAGGTATGGTGGAAAATTTGTTTTTGTCATTATTTATGTCTGTTTTCCTTGAGGTCTTGTGAGCTGAAATCATTTTTAGCCAGTCTGATATCCACATCTTTCGCACTTTTACTGAAAATGTAAGCTACATAGACCTATGGAGCAGGAGTTGGGGAAGGAATCGAATCTATACATATGTTGAACATCAAACATTGAAATGAGATTGCCAAATGTCAAAAAGAAACAAGAAAAGAGCCCTTGAGATAACATGAACAATTGGCAATATCCCCTTGCACCTTTTATTGTTTTTACATATTATTCCTTTTTCTGTGCAGTTTGCCCCTTCTGTTAGCTAAAAATACACATGGTAATTCGTGTATCCATATTTGTTTATTTAGTATGTAACATGTGTAAAATACAAAAATTATACGTCAAACACAAAATTATTATTATTATTTTTGTTTTGATCAAATTCATATGATTTTTATTAAAATTTTAAATGATATCTTTTTATATATATTTTTATATCATTTTTGTATCATAATGTTTTGTCGTGTACTCGCTTTTAAAATTGTCCAGCTAGAAACATGTTTCCTATAAGCTATTCCTTTTTCCCTAATTCTATGATATATCAAATATAAAGCATAGTGTAACTTGCCAGTCATTCATTTATTGCTAATGGTTTTTGTATTTGCAGGCATGAAGTAAACTGGGGTTTGGTATAAACCATGATAACAAATTGGTGTTTAGGGACAGATTTAGAGTGGGGGGCAGCTGCCTCCAATGAAATTAAAGAACGTTTTTTTTTTTTTTTTTTGTAGTTTAATGTAATTACCGCAAGTTTGAGAATAGTTTTGATTTTGGTTTCACTGAAATTTAATTTAATAGGATCTTACTTTAATCTTTCTTCTTCTTTATGTTTTTTAATTGTAAGCTGCCACTGTCTTATCTTTAGATATTATCCATTCAAACAACAATGATAAATTGGAGATCATATCATTGATTCATTTAGAATGATTTGATTGTATTACTTTTTACCAATTATAATTTAAAATTATATAAGATTCATCTAAATTTTAATTTTATATGTGGTTCATTTTTATAAATAATGAATTTTTATAAGTTTTTTATTGTAATTGAATAATTATAAAATTATAATAAAAAATTAGGTGAAATGTATCCCTTAAATTGAATATGGAGGTAGGCCTAATGGTTTATTAATTTTTAAGGGCCGGATTTTCGTTGGAGATAATTTTGTAGAATTTATAAGAATTAGATTTTGACACTCATTATGTATATAAAAAATAAAAAAATTGTGCCTTAAAAGGAAAGAAGTTATATGAGGAGTAATTTTCCTTTTAACGCATGTTTAAAAAAAGTTTTTTTACTACTAATTGTTAATAAAAATACGCAATATACATATGTGAAACTTTTAAAAATTTTTAACTTTAAGTAGTCTTTTTTTTTTTTTTGAAAATAAATATTTAAATTTCATTCAACTTAAAAAACTGTTGTAATTAGTAATTACTACTGTAACTTCCCCAAATATTGCTATTGATAGAGGAAAATAAATTATTCTTGAAAAAGGTAAAAAACAATTTAAATAAAAACCTATTGAATTTTATTTTATTATTTTATTTTTTTGGTAATTCCCCCTTTCAATTAGAACTAAATCTTGGTCAGCCAGAAAAGCCGAAACAGCTAGTTTAGTTCCAGTGTGTAGAATTTGATTACTAAAAGAACAAAAAAGCTAAAAAAAATCTGAACAAAAGGCAACGTTAAGACCGAGATCTTAACAAAGAAAGAGAGACAGAAATGTAATAAAAGAATGAAAGCTTTGAACTTGCTTCTTCAGTCTCTGTTATTTCTTTTGTTGTTTTCTTTACACAAAGCAGTCCCAGATGGCATCACTCCCGAGGAGGCCAAGCAGCTTAGAGATGTGGTAAAAAAGATTTTCTTTTTCTCTTTAATTCATCTTTTAAATTCAGGCTTTTTTTTTTTAATTTTCTCTTTTAAGTAGATATTATCAGGAGTTTTTTTTAAACTTAATTTATGTTACTCTCAATGTCTTTACATATTGGGATTTTCACAGTGTTTGCTTGGTTTGTTGATTGATAATTGAGTATTTTAGGAATCTTTGGTGATGGCAATTGATTTCAAGGCAAAATTTGAAAACCCATTTTGGCAAAGCATTAAAAAGCATGAGAAACAGATGTATTAGTAGTTCACATTGTTTTTATACTTGATTTTTATATGATAGTAAATGAAAGCTGAAGTCAAACTTTAACCTTTAAGCTACAAATTATCAGTTAAACTAGTTGGAGGAGATTGTAATGTATTAGCCGTTCACGTGATGGCATATGTGTTGTTGCTTTTGGGTGCTGTAGGTGCGTGAAATGTTCTATCATGCTTTTGATGGATATGTAGAGCATGCATTTCCACTTGATGAGTTAAGACCTCTATCGTGTGAAGGAGAAGATACGCTTGGTGGTTATGACTTTTTGCTGGAACTATCCTTTTTTTTTTTTTTTAATTTTCAACCTTGTTGATGTTGCCAATATGCTGTTTTTACAGATTGATTCTTTAGACACACTGGCTTTACTTGGAGATCGAGAACACTTTACTCCCTCTGTTGATTGGATTGGTAAAAATCTTCAGTTTGATATAGTGAGTGAAATATATATTTTTTTGCATCAATCTTTTGTGCCATCGTATTTGGTTTGTTTTTAATATGGAAACCTTTTATAGACTTTAATAGGGGTGAAGGTGGAACTTTATATCCTTGGTTTAGACTCCCAAACTTTGATTTAAGGAGTTCCTTGATAATTCATAAACATAGTGCAATAGAAGCTTGATCTTTTGTAAAGTGATAAATGTTATCACACTTCTGGTTTTCTGATAATTTGACTTAAATGAAACATACATGACAGTTAGTATAATTCTAAAGGTAATAGATTATCGTTGTTGATTGCCATTGTCTAATTTTTTATATCCATGAGAATTATGTACCATTCTTTATTTCAATGCCCATATAATTGTCCTGCAAAATTTAACCGGTCCTTCACAAACCTAACATCCAAGGTATGCATTCATCATCTGTTGAGCCATAAAAGAGATGACCAGTGTGAATGCCATGATTGAGCGGATATGATAAATTTGAAGGCCTTCCTAAAGTTCTTTTATTATGATGGTTGCTTCCAGTGCCAAATTGTATTCTAAATTCAATAAAATGGTATATAATCACCATGAGACCCCAAATTTGTGCCTTTATTGTTCTTATAATATGACTTTCACCTGTTTAATGGTTTAAATTTTCTCATCCTTCACTTGTGCTTATTGAGTCATTTTCTCCCCCAAAATCACTGATATCATCCAATCATTTAATAGTTGATTTTGATTGGCTGTAGATAATACTTTTGGTATTTGGAAATATGGTTATCAATCTATAACTTTGGAGTTTACTTTTATTCTGCAGAATAAAACAGCCTCTGTTTTCCATTGGAGGTTTATTTTCTGCTCATCTTATTGCAAGTGACTATGCTACAGTAATATCAATTTTGTTGCCCTCCATCAATCTTTTCCATGTAGAATAAATATCAGGGTCATTTCAATTTCAGGGCATGAGAATCCCTTCTTATGACAATCAATTACTTGACCTAGCTGAAGATCTGGCTCGGAGGTTATTACCTGCATTTGACACTCCTACAGGTATCACTCATGGATCATTTTTCCATTGAGGTGCACTAACGTGAAAATTAGCTGATACTAGATGTGGTATCTTATTATGACAATCTCCAGTTCTGTAGTATTGTAGGAATCCTGTTCGGATCTGTTAAATGTAAAGCATGGAGTTGATGAACATGAAAGCAAGGCAATGCCTCCGTTATCTCCTAGTGAGGATTTATTTAGTTAGTTTCTGTAAACTTTTTACACATGTGTCACCCTGAAGGCAGCTTCTGCAAATTCCCATTGTCCTACATACTAAAGTACAATGCTATCAGTACTTAGTAACGTGCATAGTTGTTGTATGTAATTTCCAATTAAAGTGAATTAATGTTGTTCAAATATTAATCTCTAGTAAAGTCCTGAATCCCTTATGTTTGCATTTTTCATATATGTTATATTATGTAGGTAATTTAGACTTCCAGTTTTGGTTTGTTTAGATAACATCTACGGCTGGGGGTGGGACTTTGACCCTTGAATTTGGAGTCCTGAGCTGTTTGACAAATGACCCTACTAAGTGTTGCTGCCTCTATATTTGGTGTTTTTGCATTCTCTAGTAGTGTTTATGCTACATAAAGTATGATAGCAAATCTTTGGCACTTCTGCTTGCCTGTTACTGATAGCCTTATCAAGTAGGCCTTTTTCTTCTTGGGCTATGGACCTCATTCTATGTCCAGGTAGAATGAGTTCTAGCATCTTTCAAAGTTCTACATCATATCAAGCTTTAAGTGAATATTGGTATTGGCTTTGCACGTACCCTTGCAAGTATTTTAGGTTTATTGAGTTATTTTGCTAGTTACAGAGTTACAGAAATGGTTTTAGTGCTGCCTTCAATGACAATTTGACACCTACTTGAAATTATGTAGAATGTAATTGCTTCTTTGGATTCTATAAATTGCACTGATCCTTCTGTAATTGTGGATTTCAATACGGTGCTTGCTGTTGCCAACTTGCTATGATTATTATGAAATTACTCCACTTTCCCCTTTCCTTGTCCAAGTTTTAATGACAGGAAAATTTACCTTTCTGAACTATAAAGCAGCCTTGCAACTTTAGATGCAGCCTTGGGTCAATTCTGACCTGCAAAGCCAATTTATTGAGAACCTAAGGTTAAGTGGCCTGGATCCTAATGTCACATCCTCTCACTGTGAGAATAGCTGGGAGAAGAATTCAGGTTCCATTGTTTTCCATGGTTCACATGTATACTTACCATGCAAAAACACTGGGAACCTCAGTGATCGAGGTTTGCTGTTTAAATTTAGTCCATAAACGTCTGGTTCTAATTGTTCATAACCGAAAGGCACAAAATATGGAAGATTGGAAATACTAACAGACAAGAGAAGTAAAGAGAAAATTTGGATTGGATTGCTTGGAATCCTAGCATAACAATCTGACTGGGCTACCAAAGTAGTGACTAGGAACTGCTTAAATCAAAATTATTAGTCTAGATTTTGCAAACCAGAAGGCCAGCGATGAGACTTTTACTTGCTGTTACCAATTGTAAGGACTGTTAACTTTTGCATTCATACTGAAATAGGTTTATTTCTTAAAATGGATGCAGTTTTGAGCAAGTTACAAAGGATGCTGTTTGGGGCCTATGGGCCTGCCGTTCAAAGCTTAATTTAGTTGGTGCTCACATCAATGTGTTTACTGGTGAATGGACACAGAAGGTATCCTGCTGTTTACCATTATTGCATGGTTAAGGGCCTTGTAAGTTTCTGTTGTTGTATTAGCTACAGTGGGATGTTCTTCATATTATTTATTAGTTGGAAAAGGATTAAATCTTTCTGTTGCTGTTGCCTCTATTGAGTCATTTTTTCACTATATGTGAAGTCTTTTCTGGAAGAAAGATGGTCAGTTTTGAGCTTCTTTTGATGCAGCCTTCATTTATTCTTTTAGAAAATTATTTTCCTATCTTCTAATTCTATTTTGAAACTTTTTTTTTAGTACTTATGAAAGGACAAGTCGAGAATTAATATTTTCCTAGGTTGTATTTCTCTTGCAAATTGCCTTATTCATATGCAGTAATTGAATAAGAATAACTCACATAATTAAGAATATCCATTAAACCAGAAACTGAACTGCTGTTTCACTCATTAACCTATTGACCTCCTACTGGACCCATCTTCGTTGGCGTTCCATTGCTCCCATCTACATTTTGAAGGAAACAAATTTAGCCAATCTATATCTGGCCAGATGGAATTGATTTTATGCTATTTTGCAGGATGCTGGAATAGGGACAAGCGTTGACTCCTTCTATGAGTATTTTCTGAAGGTCTGTCTCACGACTTGAAATTCTTGTACCTCATAACTTGGCGATCACAATTTAGTAATAAAGAAAACATTTTTCCTTTCTTGATATCTTTTCAGGCATATTTATTGTTTGGAGATGAAGAGTATTTGTTCATTTTCCAAGAAGCATACAATGCTGCTATTTACCATCTTTACAATGATCCTTGTTAAAAACTTGTGCTGTTGTGCACCACTTTGTAAATATATCATACCTTTTGTCATTTAACATTTTCGCTGCATCATCTCTCTCTCTTTTAATTTTAATTGACTTCCTTAGGTATGTAGAGGTCAATATGGATTCTGTGTGCTATTGTCTGGTCATTATTTAGCAGTTTGCAGGCCTTTTGGCCAGGGCTTCAGGTTATTATTTTGTAATTTCATTGTCTGATTTAAACCATGCAATATATAATTGAATATTTGGTAATCAGAGTTTACCATTTTTGGAAGGTCTTAGCAGAGGATATGGATCCTGCTATTCAAACACATTCTGCCTTCTTCAGTGTCTGGAAAAGATATGGTTTCACTTGTGAGGGTTTTAATCTTGCTACACGTAGTGTTCAGGTATCTGAATCATAATATTGTACTACTTTTATCATTGTCATTGAGGGTTTCAAATTAGAATTGTACTAATTTTTTGACTACCTCAGGAAAACTTAAATATGTCGTGTTCTCAAAGTATGCTGTTTCTGAAATAGGTGAATTTGCTCTATGATGTTTCTTATTTAAAATCTTAAACATACCACCACTGGAAGTTCTGTAACTTGTGTTGCCTGATAACTTTGTTTCTTTTTTAGAAAAAAAAAATTTTATGTCACACTAATACCATGTTTCTTTGGCAGCATAAGAAAAAGAGTTACCCCTTGCTTCCAGACTTAATACAAAGCACATATTGGATCTCTATCCAAATTATACGATGTTTCTTTTGGCAGCATGGGAAAAGAGTTATCCCTTGCGTCCTGAGTTAAAAGAAAGCACATATTGGCTCTACAAAGCTACCAGAGATCCCAGGTCAATATGATTGACTTTTATTTATGTGCCCTTTCTAACTTTTTCCACTCCTACTTTTGAACATCTTCACTTACAGTTATTTGGAAGGGGTCAATTTTGCAACATCTAACCTTTAGCAGTTTCTTTCTATAACTGGAGTAATTTTAAAGGGTGAAAGGAAAGCACTCTGTTTATATGTTAAGTTAAATATCTCATTTATCCACTAGTTGATGTTGTTTCTGAAAGGCTTTATTGTTTCAGGATTACAAAAATGCTGGCATGGCTTCCTTTCTCTCCAATTTTTGGAAGCAATTAATGTCAGCTATTTATGTCAGCTTTAAATATTGAAGGAATACCCTTTTCTGAAGATAAATTGTATTAGAAGCCGAAATTGCTGAAACTTAATACATAGAAAAAAGGGAAACGTAAAAGGAATAAAACCGATGCCTAATATCATGACATTTAACAGCAGTAACTTAAGATATTGCATAAAATGAATGTGGAAAATAAAACTGACTTGCTACATAACCTATTTTATCAAACAAAGAATACTGTTAATGAGAGTGGATGGCTATCCCTGCTGCTATTAGATGTTTTCCATTTACCTTTTCTGCTCATGGTAACTAGAATAATTTTTGTTGTATTTCCCCACTCTAGTAAAGTGTAAGTGTATGGATATTTTCCACTGTAGATATCTGGATGCTATGCAAAGCATGGTTGCTAGCTTGCAATATGGGGCAAGATGCAGTTGTCGTTATTGTCATATATCAGATGTTGAGTTTCACAAGAGGGAAGATCACATGGAGAGCTTTTTCCTGACAGAAACAGTAAGTAAGAATTTACACGTATTTCATCTGAATTGGTTGTTTCCTTAAATACAACTTGTTGTAGATGGGGGACAAGACTAGATTTCAGGATTTTGTTTGGTTTGAATTTGACCCAATTTGACCTGTGGATGGTTTTTGGTACCCTCAATCATGTTCTCCTTTCCTTTCTAGTATAATCTTGTATGTAATTATTAGTTGAAATATTTGTGGCTCCTTTTTGATTTGGCTGTGGCTCCAGACAACCTTGTTGAAAGTGGACCATACAAGTAAGATTTCTTTTTCTTGTTTCTTTTTTTAACAGTTATATTCCATGAAAGAAACTGCAATTTCTTATTTTTCATGTTTTGTGGAAAATTTCCATTTACAGGTGTATGGTCGGCACTGAGTGCCATTTAGTGGCTGCAACTCCTCGAATATCTCTATCATGAGAGCATTGTTCTTATTTTGGGGCTTACTGTAACTGTGATGACTTTAAACAAGAGCCTCATGCATCAGATATGTCTGCTGATTCTCTACAAGCTAATGGTAGCAGAGCTTCTAGGGGTTGGGTTCGCACTGGGTTTCCATTGGGCTCTTCTTATCTTGACGCATCTCCTGTATCTGGGCTAATTAAGGTTAGTGTTGAAATATTTTCTGAGCAGAACAACTTTTACTCCCTCTAATCTATATTTTGGTTTTTTTTTCCACTGGGTTGATGGTAATCATAGATAATGAAGTGTTACTAAAAGATTGATTAATGTTTGTTCTTGTGGAGTCTAGGTCTTTGTTTACAGGTTATCACAAAACAAAATGGCTATTTCAGGTGTTTAAAAAAAAGGCCATATCAGATGTCTACCATCAGATGTCGGTTATTTCTAGTTATAGCATCATCACTTTTAATATACCTTTTTTTAAACGTGAAATGGCAGAATAGACAAGGAACTGCTATGGAAGTTTGAGGCTTATTTATTTATTTTTTTGCAATAACTCTAATTTGATGCGAGCACATTGATGTTTTTTCGTTCTCTTAGAAATCTTTTTCTCCATTTCACAGGGGCTTTGTCCAGGACTAACTCATGGGCAGAAGTATGGCACATTCCATATCTGGCTTCAGTTGACACGCTTCATAAAGATAATTCTGCAAAACGAAAGGATACTGTGGTTGAAAGCCATGTTCTAGTTGTTGTTGCAGACCAAACTGCTAATCAATCACTATCTGGTGACAGCAACGAGGACAGTGTTAAAGAATTGACTGAGAGGGAACCGGAGACTGATCCATTTCAATCATGAAAAGGCTTCTTGGGCATGTATAACAAACTAAAGGTAGTTTGTGCCCTAAATTACCCAACACCAGGTCTCAGTTCTTTCCTTTGTGCTATTTTCCCTGAAAGATGGTGATCGTGACTGATAAATATTGGCTGGTCTGACATTTTATCTGACTTTGGCTTCTAACCTGATGCTTATGATCGATTTATCTTCTCCACTTGCCACTTTGACAGCATGTATACTATAATCAATAAGATCGAGCAATTCGGCAACAAATAGAATGAGTATACATTTAAGGTTAGAGTTGTAAACTGCAAGATGAAGCAGGTCTGTCTGTATGATGACTTTGCTGTTTGTCATGCTGGCTGTGATGTCGAGAAATGAAAATAGGCATTTGTTTACCGATAGGACCCTTGTAAGTTAGCAAAAACAAAGGGTACTTTTGTACATTTCATATGGTTATTCCTAAGGTTGATCACAGTAGATGAGGCCATCATCCTGGATTGCTGGAAGGCCATAGTCTGGACGTTGGTCGACGGGGAAAGTCAGTGTAGGTGGGATGCCATCAGTGCGGGGCTGCCGGAAGGGTATCTTACCGCTTGAGGACTTTTTAAAAATGGAAACAATCACTTAGCACCATTTGATTCAAACAAATTTTACTCGAACTATAAACAAAATTTGATTTTTGGGTTCTTATATTCAATTACCTTTCATATTTGGTTCTTTTTGTTTGATTCAGGGTTGTTCCAAACAGTACTAAATTTCTTCGGTGTTCAATAATTCAATGAAAGAATATTTTGATGATCCTTAAGGAACTTTGCTTCTGTATGCAATTTTTTTCTCGTACTTTCTTTTCAATCTCTTGTTTCCGAATGCCAAAACAAGAAAGTATAAGTATAAAAAAAGCCCCGAATTAAAATTAAAAATTATTTAAGTTTTTATTATTTTATTTTAATAAATTAAGTTTTTAAATATTTATTTTTATCAATTAAATTTTTATTAGACGAAAATTTATTAATTGGTGATAATTATTTGTGTTCTATCGAAAGTTTAATTCAATAAAAATAAATGTTTTAAAAATTTAATAAGATGAAAATAAATATATAAGAACTTAATTGAATAAAAAAAAAAGTTTGAGAAGTCATGTGATTAGAATAAAACTATAGGATTTCGGATAATTATTTAATTTTTTTTAAAAGAGCCTTTTTTTATACTGAAAAGCCGAAAATTGAGCAAAATTAGGTTTAGCCCAAAAAACATAAGATACCCCATTTAAAGAGCCCATCTATTCTTCAGAGTCGAGAACATTTGAAAAGAAGTTAAATATAAAATCACATGACCGTTAAGACTCATCCCTAGTACTTTTGGCGCCATGAAATGAATCACTCTCTCTTACGGCTCCTCAACAAAGCCAAATCTTTTCAATCCTTAACATCTATCCACGCCCGTCTCCTAGTCGATGGCTCTATTGCCTCATCAGACCTCGTGCTCAACAAGTTTCTCAGACTCTACGCACGTTTTGATTCTATCCAATACGCTCAGAAGTTGTTCGATAAAATTCCTCAACCAAATGCATTTCTTTGGACGGCTTTGATTCATGGGTATGTTGACAATCGAAACTACACGGAGGCTTTGTCTTTGTTTTCAAAGATGTGTAAAAACTCTATTTTTCCCTTGAATTTTACCTTGGCTTCGGTTCTCAAGAGTTTGGCCAGGTTGATGAGGGTTAAAGAAGGGGAAGCGGTTTACTGTTTGGGGTTAAAATGTGGGCTTAGTTTTGATTTGATAGTGCAAAATGCGGTGATTGATTTACTCATGAGATGTGGGGAAGTTGATTTGGCAAGAAGGGTATTCAATGAAATGGAGGGAAAAGATTTGGTTTCTTGGAATTCAATGATTTCGGGATATGGGAGTAATGGTAGAGTGGATCTTGCACGGGAGTTATTTGATGAGATGTCAGAAAGGAATGTGATTTCTTGGACAAGTATGATTCAAGGATATGTTAAGGCTGGGGATATGGAAGAGGCTAGGGTTCTTTTTGATAGAATGACTACCAAAGACTTAGCATCATGGAATGTCATGGTTTCTGGATATATAGATGTTGGTGATCTTGATTCAGCTCTGTCTGTTTTTGATGCCATGCCTGTTCGAGATGCTGGGACTTGGAATCTGATGATTGCTGGGTATTGTAAAGCAGGGGAGATGGAAATTGCAAGAGATTTTTTTGATAAAATGCAAGGTAAAAATGTTGCATCATGGACCATAATGATAGATGGCTATGTTAGGGCAGGGGATGTCAGTAGTGGAAGATGTTTGTTTGATCAGATGCCTGAGAAGAATCTGGTCTCTTGGTCTACCATGATTGGGGGCTATGCTAGAAATGGGAGGCCCTGTGATAGTTTGGAATTGTATGAACAGTTTAAAAAACAAGGTATTAAGCCTGATGAAACATTCGTGTTAGGAGTCATTTCAGCTTGCTCACAGTTAGGAATTTTGGATGCAGCTGAATCAATCATTCATGACTTTACAGGACCACCACTCTTTTCTAGTTTGCGAATTGTCACTAGTTTAATTGACATGTATGCAAAATGTGGAAACATTGACAGGGCTTTGCAAGTTTTTAATATGGCTTATCAAAAAGATTTGCTTTGCTACAGCACAATGATCACAGCCTTTGCAAATCATGGCATGGCTCAAGACGCCATTTCTTTGTTTGAGGAGATGCAAAGGACAAATATAACACCAGATGGAGTTGCATTTCTTGGGGTTTTGACTGCTTGTAACCATGGGGGATTTGTTAGTGAGGGCAGGAGGTACTTTAAACAATTGCTAGAAGAATATAGAATTCAACCTTCAGAAAAACACTATGCGTGTATTGTTGACCTTCTTGGTCGAGCTGGGTGCCTTGAAGAGGCGTACGACCTTGTAAGAAACTTGCCAATATTACCTAGTGCAGTTGTTTGGGGAGCTTTGCTTGCTGCTTGTAGGGTCCATTGCAATGTACAATTAGCTGAAATTGCCGCAGATGAGTTATTTAGGATTGAGCCAGATAATTCTGGTAACTATATTCTCTTGTCTAATATTTATGCTGCTGCCAGAAGGTGGGATGGTGTTTCTAGAATAAGAGCAATGATTAGGAAGAATCAAGTTAGGAAGAATAGAGCTTCTAGCTGGATTGAGTTGGGGTCTGTTGTCCATGAATTTGTCACAGGAGATGCTTTGCATTTTGATGCTGAAAGAATATACTTCACCTTATATTTGATCAATGCAGAGATGAAACTTTTGGGACTTGTAAGAGATTCAGAAAAGGAAGAAGTATTGCCACACCATGCTTTTTGGCTTTCTGATGTGTACTGGTATAACATTGTGGAAGATGGCTAGTCAAAAGTATTCGTAAGAAAAAAGATTCAGTCTTTTGGAAAAAGACCACCCTTTTTGGTTAGTATTGGACAATGTAACTGCTCCATCAGCTTTTTTCCACCCTGTGAAAATCTAATTCATTGTTCACATTTTTATTTGGTTATACAAATCAGAACGGAAATAGTTCAGGATAACATGATTACTTCACTCTTTTTCTTAGGTGGATGAACCTACTATTCAAGCAACCAGGAGCCAAGGAAACACAGTTCAGGGATCCACCAGTAAGCTTTATGATATCTCTTGGCAATTTTGTATCTGCATGGAATTTTTTCACAATTTTGCTACCAATTTGTAATTCCAACTTGTAACTTTCTGAGGCAAATCACCGTAAATGTGTGGCTAAGATGCAAGTGCCACTTATTTTTGTCCCAAAGGTTCATATCTAGAGGGAAAATTTTCTGGATCTGGTGTTCTGCAATTTTGACTATTATTATCCTAAATGAGTAGATTGTAAGGAAAAGGTGTTAGTATGTAGCGATAAAGAGAAACTGGTTTATGGAACATAAAATAAAAAAAATAAAAAAAAAAGGAGAGAGAAATTGGCTTAAGGTTTGGGTTTGAGTATCAGAAAATAATATCTTAAAATATCAGCATTGTTATGTTCTTTTCTCAGTAATATCTTTGAGTCTTCCTGTTTGATATCATAATGGTATTTGGGAACTTTAAATCAGTTTCAATTTCTCTTGTAGGGTTATTTCATTCCATCTGTATTGAACCATCAGCAAATAGATAGATACAATATCGAGAGGAGATGAAATAATGGGTATAAAAACATCACAATGCATGTCAATGTAGGCAGATAATGCCGTCTGAAAACATCCAGCTTAAGAAAAACTCTTAACTGAAATTTCCACTGACATGGCTGATTCCTGTGCTGTAGGCCTTGCATTGTGCTTGACATTGTATGCGACAGCCAGTCCAAAGACATGTTTTATGCATACTAACACATGTCCTAACCTTAGTTGTGGAATGATACATCTAAGCAACTGCTTTGGTGTCTAAATCTCTCCCATATATTAAGTGCATCACCTAATCAAACCATGCTTGGTTGCCATCCCATCCTATGAACTGCACATGGCATCTGTGGTATGGCAGGTTGAGGCAATGACTTGGCTACATTGTCTGTGGGTAGTGGTTGGTTAATGAGTGGCAACATAAATGTTACAAACCTTGTGTTTTAGTAACATACATATGAAAAATTATCAAACATGTCATGTGCTCTGTTTTAGACATGTCTTTCAGAAAAAGAATTGTCAGAAGTTTAGGCTGTTAACTGTTTGAGGTATCGTGATTAGTTAGCAGTGGCTGACAATTTTATAAATTTCAACTGTAACTGCAGCAGCATAAGCAAGCTGTCCAGGAAATATCCGTTTACTGGTTAACAGATAACAACAACCAAATATATCCATATCAATGAATAGTTAGATTTGTATTCAAACATCATTACCGGCATCAAAATAAACATAGGATCAGTAAAGCCAGATCCTGGAATCTTGTCAGATGTTGTTTCTTAATACATTTAGGCTTTATTACTGACTGTTACATGGGGAATGGTGGAGAATATGCTTATATTTAGATATATAAAGATGTAAAATGGATGTTCAAAACCTAAACTATCTACCAAGGCAGAAATTATTCAACGTGAAAATAGGCAGCCTGGGAGTGAGATAGATAGATTTGGTTTATGGGGTGGGGCTCCCAACAAATCACCCTTTGGTCAATTGATAAGAGCAATGTTTGCGAAGTCCCAGAAAAATATCATAGCTCGATAAGATTTTCCTAACAAAATCCATAATTATGTCACTAACCATGGGGCTGGTGGAGAATATAGTTAGGAAATATAGTGTAGGTATCCATATCCTAAAAATAAATTATTCTTGCGCCCTGATGTTTCGATCAAGAAGATATAGTATTTTTATAAACAAACAAAAATTACGATTAAAAAATTATTAAATAAAATGTTGTTATTAGACCTATTCACGATTCAATTTATTTGCCAAGTTTACAAATTTGGTTGATTCAAATCAAACTTGGACATAATTTTCTATACTCCAGTCAATAAGTGATCATTTTATTTATAGTATTTTAACCCGCTGTTCTCTTTATTGTCCGGAGAAAGGAATCAACGGTTGCGATTGGCTTTGTCAATTTTGATGGTTACGATTCAAAAGAACCGCATGGCAAAGAGTTCTCATTATAGTTGTCACCATTCCTTCTTCCATTAGAAGATTATGTTAATGAATCCCAGCCAATCATCATTTTCAGCTGTGGGAAAAATTTTCATTTCATAGATGAATAAGACAGATTTTTACATATTCTTTTCTAACACATTGCACATGATGTCCACTGACCATTGTCTTATTATACAATTGACAGGGAAATTTAAGTATTGGAAAGTGGAAACAACACAAAATTTTCATCCACTAGAACACTGTGCAGTTTTGCTTCTTGTGGCATGTTCAGTCCTCTGGTTCTCACTGTTCCCAACACAACTTTCAATTTTGGGTGGGAAAGATTTAGATCTTTAACATTTTAGTTTGAACAAAAAAATCCCAGTATCACAAAGGTCCCTGTTGAAAGGCTTTGAATTGCATGTTTTGACACTTGTACTTTTTTATCATCCAATTTTATTGTTTCTGGACTCTAGTTTTATTGACCTTTTCTTTGGAAAATAATATTTCAGTTAAATGTATTTTCTCGCCTTTCAGTCTGTAATTTTGGGTATTTATCAAATCAGTGTTGTTCATAATCTTTGTTCAATAGAAGGCTATGATAGGCTGTTTGGTAATGTTAGGAATTAATATTTCAACTTTTTTTTCTTTTTTTTTTCAAAATAATTTGACCTTTTCTATGGAAAGCAACATTTGAGTGAAATATAGTTTCTGACGGATGTATATAGTTGTCTATAACTTCTTGCATTGATCAAATCAGCAGTGAAGGTCAAAGAAACTGATGGGTTATTCTGTTATCATAGCAATTATAGATACTGTAATCTATACAAATATTGAAAATATCTTATAAATTTTTAGTCCTGATTTTAGAGGCCTAAATAATTTGATTAATGATATAGCCATTGACTTAAGCTTCGTTTAAATGGCTGATGGCAATCTATTTGTTAAGAATAGTGATTTAAATTTCATAAAAAAATTATTTAAGATTGATTAGATATTATTTGATGGATAAAAATATTTGTAGAAGATGAATTTTTTTAAAAAAAATGGATTCTTGATAAGCAAATATGCATGCTTATAAATAGACGTAATCTTAAGATTAAGTATGAGAAAAAATATAAGAAAGTTATAGGATTTTATAAGATAGATATTTCATAAGACTATAAAAAATTTACACTCTTATAGGTATGTATATTTGAGTGGATTAGAAGAGAATGAGATGATTTACATAGGTATGGTAGTGTAAATGTTTTGAGTGAATTAGAGGAGATTAAAAGTGTTTACATAGGTCTAAGTGCATGAGTATATATAGGTATATATTTATTTACATTGAGAATATTGTATAGGATTAGAGGATATTGAGAAAACGGTATTGATTATTGAATATTGATTGATATGAGTTATATATTTGTAATTTTTTACAATTAATAAATTTTTTTTTATCTTAAATTGATTGAATCGAATCACGTTAAATTATTATTTTTTATGCGTGTAATTGATCGATTGATTTCAGTTCTGCCGGTAAGATAGAATTGAGACTTTTTGCCCAAGGTCATGCAACAACGCATTGTTTTGGGACTAGACCCTGTAGCAGTAGCGCCATGGCTATTTCTTAAATGTTGACAGGCAATGCTTGCTGAATGCTTCTGACTCTTCAGATTTGACTTTCCCAGTTTCATCTGCAGTTTTAAACTTCTCCCAGAAAAACTAAAAATAAATGAAGATAGTACTGGTGAGGAAAGATCCATTGATCTAAAGTAAAAGTTACACCAGTACTATTTCTCCAGACCCAGATGTGACCTTGTTTGAGGCCCTGAGTAGCTTAAGTTTTGAGTTGTTTTGTATGGCTCCCTAGATATTTTTCTCAAATAATCACTCAGCTAGCATTAAATGGGGGATCTGATCAGAATTTGAACTCTGAACTGTTTAACAAAATATATTATGATGATTATATTTAAGAACTTGATGTAAAACTAGTTTAATATCTCAGATGATCAAGATCCAAGTATGTGTTAGTTTTTAATCTCTAAAAATAAAGTTTGGGTGTCTTTGAATTCCCTGTCCTGCAAATTAAGCTGAGGTGTATAGTGAATTTAGTGCAAGGAAAAAAAAAATATATATATATATATATATATGGGAAACGATTTAATTTATAACAATCCCCTTTTCTGATGCTTGAATTCTGGACAAATACATTTCATATATGTATGTAGTTACTATTACTTCACAAGTCAAAACAAATATGCATTCTTTCTCTTGTTAATGCTTGAATGCCAATAAAGCTTTAATAATCCTTTTTAAGTCTTTTTTTAGGGTTACAAAATCTATTTTAGGATTAAACAGTAGATTTTTTAACCCTAGTCTGCACTTTTCTTATGCAACTTTTGGAAATATTCCTTAATCTGCTGGGGGCTCCATTCAAGTTTTGAAATCCCTCTTTCCTTTGTTTGTTTGTTTTTTATGTAGTTTTAACTCAGAATAAGGAATATGAACAAAAATGAATAGATGATGACTATTTATTAATGAAAAGGGAAAGAACAATTTTTTTTTTCAGGAACAACAAAAACACAGACAAGTTTAATTGTACAGAGACTCGTAGCTGATATACAACTTTGTTTGTATTAGTACTACATAACCAAAACTTGGATAGTCACATCCATTTTTGTGATTTTCTTAAATCTTTTTTTTTTTTTTTAAACAAAGTTGCACTTGAAGCAACAGATTCTTTTATCTAGTTTTGGTTTGATGGGTATAATAGCAAAACACAGTAACATTACAGATGCTCAAACCACCAAATAAATGTTTCTGAGGAAAGAAAATGTAACTCCACTTTATATTATCTGTTTTCCTTAATTCCTTCTAAACTTTCTCAGTCGATTGAATTTCTTACCAGACAATCTATCGAGGAGACTTGGAATCAGATCCAAAAATCTCCTTCAAGAACCGAAGCTGAAAGATTTTCTCTCCATGAGAGAGACGGATCTTCTGTTTTTTCTTTAGATACGTGTTGTTGTTGGTACTAGGTAGAAAGAATTTTCTCATACACCACAACCTAAGCCTCTAGCTTCTGATCCTTTCATGATTCTTAGTCTCTTGCATGATGTGATGAACATTCTGCAACAAGAACAGAAAACCTTGTAAGTTACAGAAAATATATGGTATATCTAGGAAAAATACTAGCATAAAGAGAAAGAGAGAGAGGGAGAGAGAGAGAGACTTACTCCCAGGGAACATCTCCAACTAGCATCCAGTCTCCATCCTTGTCTTCATAAGTAGGTGCATAATCTGATCCTTTATAGCCTTCTCTTTCCGAGTACTCACCTGAAAAAAGTTGAACCCAAAGTCATTTTCATCGAAGTCATCATAAAAATCATCGCCATCTCACACCAAGTCACATCATATGTCATAACAACAAAATAACAGCAATAATCCATGTTCTTACCTATGGTGAACTTGAACATGTTCTCTAAAGCCTGCAGGAGCTCCCGGTACCCAGTGTAAACTTTCAGGTCAATCTTTCTTAGGTATGGAGCTCCATCCATGCTTACTTTCACATAAATCCCAGGTCCCTCAGACTCATTTTTCTTTGACTGAAAGTTATTCTTTCTATAGGACCGGATCGGTGGCCACCCCACAATTTGTGCTCTGCATGTTTCATAAACATCAAAAGAATCTATTAGTTTCTATCTAATTTTATAGTAAATCAAATAAGAAAAGAAGATTACCCTGTTAAGGCAAATTTTTTATGTTATAATACTTTGTTATAAACAACTTACTTTGCAGGAGGGGCAGTTTCGTTTTGAGAATCAGATTTGCCATTTGCTCCACCTTCCTGCAATGGTCGTTTATTGTTTCTAACATTGGAAACTGCGTGTTCCTCTCTTTCATCTGTTCCTGGCAACCCTAATCTTAGTTCAGTTGCCTTGAGGTGTAGATCATTCTCATAGGCGACACTGCCTTCCATTTTGCAAAGATCTTCACTCTCAAAATGATACACCAAAGCTGCTCGTATAGCAAAAGCAAAGTTCCTTCTTCAATATGAAAGGATGATGAATGCAAGCTGATTTTATCTAAGATGTGATTTTAGAAAAGTTCTTGTAGTTCCTTCGAGGATACACAATGTTTGAGAGAAATGAAAATTTTACTTGTTTGTCATGGAAATGAGAATGCAAAAGCAGGTATTTTATAGTATAAGATGGAAGTCATAACTCATAATAAAAAAGAAGGGTGGTCTACGGTGGATTAAGGAGTAATGAGGAAGCCTTGTTATTTTCTCAATGCATGAATTATGGACAAAGGCAAGCTAAGTTGTCGGTAGCAATAGCTGCAACTTTGAGGCAAGCTGCCCCCGCGTTGGGGGGACAAGGGAGGGACAAGCTCAGCCGCCCATATGGAAGACTTGAGGCTTGAGTGGGACGGTCAAGATGCGTTTTGGGGGGTTGCGGGAGTGAAATCAGGGGCGTTGGTTTTTCTTTAAAGGAAGGAAAAGCTAGGCAGCATCCCCAAGTTAAAAAAAGGTGCATCTTGGGTGTTGTGTATGGCCACAGCATGGCCATGTGGGGCTACAATTTAGCAGGGTTTCTTGAATTTGCTTAATGGATTGCGGGGTTCATTTCATGTGGACGGTCATGCTTACAAGTCAGCCTCTGAATTATTTCTGTTCCTATTCCAAGTTAAAATTTAAACAAGAAAAGAAATTAATTAAAAAGCTTGACATTTTTAATAAGTACTACTTATACTTCTCTGTCGGCCATTCTAACTAGCGAAAAGAAGTTCATTTGACCCAGCCTGTTTTGTAGTTAATTGACATTCCAATATCCAAACTTTGCAGTTTCTATCATTTTCTTCGATCTTTAGATAATTTTTTTGGGAAAGATTTTAGTAAAATTAAGGGTTAATGTCATTAATAGAGTCCTGAATTATTAAAATATTCAATATCTTATTTATATTTAAAAAATTTTTAATATGAAATATGAATTATAAATTTGTTATTCAATGTGACATTCATCTTTAAAATAATTAATTTCAAATGATAATATATGATAGACAAATAATATAGTAATTAATAGATTTATAATTTAATAAAAATTTTAAAATTGAAGTATCAAATTAAATATTTTATTATAATTTAAGGTTATTGATGATTTTATCCCTAAAATTAATAATTTTCCTAAGCATTTGAGCCTCCATTAATGTATCCGGATTATTTTCAGTTTTGAGCGGAATAAGAAAATCTTCAGTACTGTGGGATGGCTAAACAGCTTCTCTGGTTTGTCTTTTCCATCCTATAGCTACAGTTTTACCTACTAAGAATTTGTTAGGGATAATAAAATGTTAATCTTTAGTCTAACCAGTCTGCAGATCATCATTTAGGCTTTAGGTTGAACTAATTTCCCAACAAATTTCATGAGAGGTACTCATTCCAATGGTTGATAGCCTGGTGTTGCCTAACCACCTAATGCTATAATTTCACCTTGATTATATCTTTTTTAGAAACATGTTCTGAATTTCCAAGGTTAAAGAAAGCTGCAAAGCAAAAAATCTACATGTCTTCAGCTTCTTTTTTCTTTTTTTTGGATAAACAAAGCAGAAACTGGTAGTAGATTCCTGAGGAACTCTACATACTTTTAGCAAATCAGATCAAACTGTAGAAGGAACTAGATATGAAACATGAATGAAACATGGGTACAAATCATGGGACACTTCTCATTTACCCCTCCGAGGATGAGTCCCACCTTGTCCTCTGGTCTAAATAATCTCCATTGGATGCTCAATTGACGCAAATATGGCCTTCAAAATTATCAACATCAGGGTCCATTTCAGCCTTACCCGTGCGCATTTAAAAGCTGTTTGATCATTATATTTATTCTTCTTCAGCTATTTCATGCACATACCATCCAACACCTAATATTTGATAGACTCTCTTATGGAAATCTCTTCTTTTCCCAGCAAAAGTGAACCGATTCAACTTGCTTGCATGGCCATTGTCCAGGTTCCTTTTTTTATGGTTTGAATTTAAAGGAGCATTCTATAGACAACCTATATCTTGATTCATGAAAGCTGAAAGTATTTTCTGCGTTGTAATCCAACCATGAAAACAACTATACATGCATCCAAAAGGAAGAGAAAAGACCAATACATATAGAAACAGTTGTTTCACTCCAAATGCAGTAATTATTAAAATTCAAATAATAAATGTTTTGCTTAGGCAGCCAGTTGCAAATGATTTCTAATAGACTGATCAAGCTGTGGTTTAAACATTTAAACTATGATGAGTTGATGACTGAGGAGAATATCTCTGGGTTGAGTTTCTTTTATTAGGATCCACACCCTATATTTTTCCATAGGTAATAATAGTGTAATACCCTAATCTTACATTGAAAATTTATAAGGATTCCATATGATAAATGTATAGTTAGAAACTTGATTTAATACTTGTGAGATGTTTTTTGTCAAATAAAATCATGAAATCTTTAAATCAAAATGGACAATATCATAAAAACCTCTCCACAAAGAGGTTACTGCCTCAGATGTCCTCTAATTTTGGCACTATCTAAATGAATTTGCTATTTTGATTCATAGGATGATGTGTCTCCAGCCACTCCATGCATGTAAAAGAAAGATGCTTTATCTCATCATTTAGGAAATGAAAAAAAAAAAAGAAATAGTCTGTAAAGCATTAATTAATTCCTTCAAAATTCAGTTTCCTTTTTAGAGAAGCATGATTTCTTATGCCCCCTTTTTTTTTTTCAAAAATCTTCTTAGGACAGCTCAGAGTTTTTCTTTGTCCGGGTGTCGCCTAATATCTTTGTCTGATCCCTCGCTGCATTTCCCTTCTTTCCTGTTTTAGTTCACAAAAGAAAAGAAATTAACAAATTAAAATTGTGCATAGATAATGAAATAAGAGTTTTTTTTACAGTAGCTTATAACAGATATCAATTTCACTTAGAAAAGCCATGGTTTTAAATGTTCAAAGGATTTCTATTACGACTTTAAGGAATCCAACAAGTTTTAGCAGAATGTTTGAGAGCTGTTGTTGTGCTGTCTTTGGCCATGGCATGGATCACACACCGTTATGTCATTATTGCTCAAGCAATACATTGAAACCAACATGGACTAAAAATCTTAGAAGGGTTAGTTGAAACTTGTGGCATCTGCCACAAAATCATATGCCAAAATCAAAGCTGTATCTGATTTAGATTTTGGATATTTGTGGTGCCTGAGAACGCACTTCAATTCGAAAACGCCCCTACGGCCTACAGGGATAGCGATGCATGACAAATATAAATAAAAATTTAGGTCTATTTTGCAGAATTTGATCCACTAAAATTTTCCAGTTGGTTGGATATGCATTGAAATATGACTCAATAATGGAGTTGAAAATTAAATGCTTAATTGGAATGGCAGGTCCTCGGCAAAACTTTGACTGTGTACTGATTCCTATTTGTGGCTATTCGGTATTATTGCTGGTACGGGAAGATTCTGATTCGTGTCTGGTTCTAAGATTGGAAACGTGTATCGATAATGAATAGGATTTATTGCAGAAAGCATTTACTTGGTTTTTGCATGTTTATTTGCTTATGGCTATCCAACAGCTGGTCTCTCTGATATTTTTGTTAGGCAAGTTATTGAACTTCAAACTGCCTGACTAAACTTGATTTGCTCAGTTAATTCATCCAATCGTTTTTTAAATTAAAATTTTAGCATCCGCAACTTGGTTTTTTTTTCTCTTATCTGCTATGTATATATATTGTAAAAACGGTGTAACTGGGGGAAAAAAAAGTTTGCGAATAATGAACAAGCCACTTAATTTGATGCCAAATTGAACATAGAGATTTGCTTTCAATAACCTTTTTTTCCTATCAGCTACATACACTGATCAATTAGCTGCTTCCATTATTGACAAGGAAGTTTTGTAAATAAAATTAGTGCCTGTCTTGAAGTTTCTGATCGATTTCAGGTAAAGAAAACGCGTGTTGAAAATTCCTGAGACAAGAACACATTTTTTTGCTTATAAGAAGCATGCAAGCAAGTTATAGGAATGAGCTTGAAATGACAATATATATTCTTATGTGCAATGAAACTTAAATTCAATTTCTTCAGACAAAATTAACAAAAAAACAGACGATGCAAAATGTGAGCAACTATAGTAATTTTTAATCATATTAACACTTTGATTACTAGGTATCTGTTCTTGTTGTCACCAACACACACACGTTGGCCCCTTCTACAGGTTATCAAAGCTTGGATCTGCTTCTTTGCACATTGTTCTAGCCAGTCGGTGCTGAACTGCTCTCTGACACCCTTTTTATCCTAAAACTCTTGTTCACTTTATAGCAGAAAAAGAAATATGACCCTTAGTTTATACAATCACCTCTTAGTTTATACAATCACCTATAAATTAAAGGTAATATCTAGCAGAAGTTCAAGTCTTAATACATGTAACCTTTATTCTGATTATTCTCATGGCCCTTTTTGTACTAAAAAAACAAATAGAAAAAGGGCAGTAACTTGGAATTAAAAATATACCGACATTGCACATGACAGCGTCAGTTTTAAAGCTAATCTGGAGGAACAAAAACAGAAAAGGAGAGTTTCCAAGCTGTAGAAATGACAAATACAACTTAGCTGAGAATCAGTGGCCCCAAACAGGCCAATATGCCAACACAGAAAGGAAACCAGGCAGCTACTGAAGGAACCCCAACACCCTTATGGAGGGCACAGATCTAGACAAAATTAGAGGGTGCCAGAATTGGAGGGCACCTTTCATTTGCATTAAATCCAGGGGTGTTCACTTACTGGCTTTTGTTTAGGTCCACTTTCCAAGGCAATTAAGGGCCCACAAATTCTTCTGCTGCAATCTGCACCTCCACCTTTGATATCTTTCAATTATATATAAAATTTTTTGGATCAGACCGTGTGTTTTTGACAACATATAACCACCCCACCCACTTGTTTCAAATCCTCATGTGCTTGTGGTGTTCATGTCTTGATAATGTTATTGAAAGCTAAATTCAATAAATGATGGATTTCTTTTTTATTTTTTTGTGTGAATAAATTGTTTCATGAACACATAAAAATGGGGACAACATGCAATTGTGATTTTATGAATTAATTGCTATACGTGTGCATAAAATTCTTTGAAAATTTAGTAAAAAATAAGGAGCTACAGTGTTATAAAGTTGAATGAATTGTCAATGTTTGGAGTTCATGATGATGTTTGGCAAAAACTATCGATGTGTTGATGGCAGCAGAGACATTGGGGGTAAAAATTATATATTTGGTCTTATCTTCTGGTGAAATGAACTTGCACATGATCTAACTTGAGAAACTGTAGTGAAAATGAGTCTAGCTTCATTG